TATTAGAATAGGAAATATATATTTTATGGTGAAAAGTCTTATGGCCATAAAACCAAATTCTACACTTGACGAGGGACAGCATTCAAAATTCGATAGAAATTCGGGTATATAAAGAAAGAAGGTCTTAAGGGGAGTACTTCGATTGACTATACTAAGCTTCACAACGCTTCACAGTCGGCAGGATTCCAATATTAGGCATTTCATATAAACTTTGAATAAAGTCTTTTTTAAAAAATCCACGCCTTGGATAGGCCTTGAAAAAAGTCTTCTTTAAAAAATCCACGCCGTGGATAGGCCTTGAAAAAAGTCTTCTTTAAAAAATCCACGCCGTGGATAGGCCTTGAAAAAAGTCTTCTTTAAAAAATCCACGCCTTGGATAGGCCTTGAAAAAAGTCTTCTTTAAAAAATCCACGCCTTGGATAGGCCTTGAAAAAAGTCTTCTTTAAAAAATCCACGACTTGGATAGGCCTTGAAAAAAGTCTTCTTTAAAAAATCCACGCCTTGGATAGGCCTTGAAAAAAGTCTTCTTTAAAAAATCCACGCCTTGGATAGGCCTTGAAAAAAGTCTTCTTTAAAAAATCCACGCCTTGGATAGGCCTTGAAAAAAGTCTTCTTTAAAAAATCCAGGCCGTGGATAGGCCTTGAAAAAAGTCTTCTTTAAAAAATCCACGCCTTGGATAGGCCTTGAAAAAAGTCTTCTTTAAAAAATCCACGCCTTGGATAGGCCTTGAAAAAAGTCTTCTTTAAAAAATCCACGCCGTGGATAGGCCTTGAAAAAAGTCTTCTTTAAAAAATCCACGCCTTGGATAGGCCTTGAAAAAAGCCTTCTTTAAAAAATCCACGCCTTGGATAGGCCTTGAAAAAAGTCTTCTTTAAAAAATCCACGACTTGGATAGGCCTTGAAAAAAGTCTTCTTTAAAAAATCCACGCCTTGGATAGGCCTTGAAAAAAGTCTTCTTTAAAAAATCCACGCCTTGGATAGGCCTTGAAAAAAGTCTTCTTTAAAAAATCCACGCTTTGGATAGGCCTTGAAAAAAGTCTTCTTTAAAAAATCCACGCCTTGGATAGGCCTTGAAAAAAGTCTTCTTTAAAAAATCCACGCCTTGGATAGGCCTTGAAAAAAGTCTTCTTTAAAAAATCCACGCCTTGGATAGGCCTTGAAAAAAGTCTTCTTTAAAAAATCCACGCCTTGGATAGGCCTTGAAAAAAGTCTTCTTTAAAAAATCCACGCCTTGGATAGGCCTTGAAAAAAGTCTTCTTTAAAAAATCCACGCCTTGGATAGGCCTTGAAAAAAGTCTTCTTTAAAAAATCCACGCCTTGGATAGGCCTTGAAAAAAGTCTTCTTTTCACGCCTTGGATAAAAATCCTTTAAAAAACGCCTTGGATAGGCCTTGAAAAAAGTCTTCTTTAAAAAATCCACGCCTTGGATAGGCCTTGAAAAAAGTCTTCTTTAAAAAATCCACGCCTTGGATAGGCCTTGAAAAAAGTCTTCTTTAAAAAATCCACGCCTTGGATAGGCCTTGAAAAAAGTCTTCTTTAAAAAATCCACGCCTTGGATAGGCCTTGAAAAAAGTCTTCTTTAAAAAATCCACGCCTTGGATAGGCCTTGAAAAAAGTCTTCTTTAAAAAATCCACGCCTTGGATAGGCCTTGAAAAAAGTCTTCTTTAAAAAATCCACGCCTTGGATAGGCCTTGAAAAAAGTCTTCTTTAAAAAATCCACGCCTTGGATAGGCCTTGAAAAAAGTCTTCTTTAAAAAATCCACGCCTTGGATAGGCCTTGAAAAAAGTCTTCTTTAAAAAATCCACGCCTTGGATAGGCCTTGAAAAAAGTCTTCTTTAAAAAATCCACGCCTTGGATAGGCCTTGAAAAAAGTCTTCTTTAAAAAATCCACGCCTTGGATAGGCCTTGAAAAAAGTCTTCTTTAAAAAATCCACGCCTTGGATAGGCCTTGAAAAAAGTCTTCTTTAAAAAATCCACGCCTTGGATAGGCCTTGAAAAAAGTCTTCTTTAAAAAATCCACGCCTTGGATAGGCCTTGAAAAAAGTCTTCTTTAAAAAATCCACGCCTTGGATAGGCCTTGAAAAAAGTCTTCTTTAAAAAATCCACGCCTTGGATAGGCCTTGAAAAAAGTCTTCTTTAAAAAATCCACGCCTTGGATAGGCCTTGAAAAAAGTCTTCTTTAAAAAATCCACGCCTTGGATAGGCCTTGAAAAAAGTCTTCTTTAAAAAATCCACGCCTTGGATAGGCCTTGAAAAAAGTCTTCTTTAAAAAATCCACGCCTTGGATAGGCCTTGAAAAAAGTCTTCTTTAAAAAATCCACGCCTTGGATAGGCCTTGAAAAAAGTCTTCTTTAAAAAATCCACGCCTTGGATAGGCCTTGAAAAAAGTCTTCTTTAAAAAATCCACGCCTTGGATAGGCCTTGAAAAAAGTCTTCTTTAAAAAATCCACGCCTTGGATAGGCCTTGAAAAAAGTCTTCTTTAAAAAATCCACGCCTTGGATAGGCCTTGAAAAAAGTCTTCTTTAAAAAATCCACGCCTTGGATAGGCCTTGAAAAAAGTCTTCTTTAAAAAATCCACGCCTTGGATAGGCCTTGAAAAAAGTCTTCTTTAAAAAATCCACGCCTTGGATAGGCCTTGAAAAAAGTCTTCTTTAAAAAATCCACGCCTTGGATAGGCCTTGAAAAAAGTCTTCTTTAAAAAATCCACGCCTTGGATAGGCCTTGAAAAAAGTCTTCTTTAAAAAATCCACGCCTTGGATAGGCCTTGAAAAAAGTCTTCTTTAAAAAATCCACGCCTTGGATAGGCCTTGAAAAAAGTCTTCTTTAAAAAATCCACGCCTTGGATAGGCCTTGAAAAAAGTCTTCTTTAAAAAATCCACGCCTTGGATAGGCCTTGAAAAAAGTCTTCTTTAAAAAATCCACGCCTTGGATAGGCCTTGAAAAAAGTCTTCTTTAAAAAATCCACGCCTTGGATAGGCCTTGAAAAAAGTCTTCTTTAAAAAATCCACGCCTTGGATAGGCCTTGGAAAAAGTCTTCTTTAAAAAATCCACGCCTTGGATAGGCCTTGAAAAAAGTCTTCTTTAAAAAATCCACGCCTTGGATAGGCCTTGGAAAAAGTCTTCTTTAAAAAATCCACGCCTTGGATAGGCCTTGAAAAAAGTCTTCTTTAAAAAATCCACGCCTTGGATAGGCCTTGAAAAAAGTCTTCTTTAAAAAATCCACGCCTTGGATAGGCCTTGAAAAAAGTCTTCTTTAAAAAATCCACGCCTTGGATAGGCCTTGAAAAAAGTCTTCTTTAAAAAATCCACGCCTTGGATAGGCCTTGAAAAAAGTCTTCTTTAAAAAATCCACGCCTTGGATAGGCCTTGAAAAAAGTCTTCTTTAAAAAATCCACGCCTTGGATAGGCCTTGAAAAAAGTCTTCTTTAAAAAATCCACGCCTTGGATAGGCCTTGAAAAAAGTCTTCTTTAAAAAATCCACGCCTTGGATAGGCCTTGAAAAAAGTCTTCTTTAAAAAATCCACGCCTTGGATAGGCCTTGAAAAAAGTCTTCTTTAAAAAATCCACGCCTTGGATAGGCCTTGAAAAAAGTCTTCTTTAAAAAATCCACGCCTTGGATAGGCCTTGAAAAAAGTCTTCTTTAAAAAATCCACGCCTTGGATAGGCCTTGAAAAAAGTCTTCTTTAAAAAATCCACGCCTTGGATAGGCCTTGAAAAAAGTCTTCTTTAAAAAATCCACGCCTTGGATAGGCCTTGAAAAAAGTCTTCTTTAAAAAATCCACGCCTTGGATAGGCCTTGAAAAAAGTCTTCTTTAAAAAATCCACGCCTTGGATAGGCCTTGAAAAAAGTCTTCTTTAAAAAATCCACGCCTCTCTGTTAGGCCTTGAAAAAAGTCTTCTTTAAAAAATCCACGCCTTGGATAGGCCTTGAAAAAAGTCTTCTTTAAAAAATCCACGCCTTGGATAGGCCTTGAAAAAAGTCTTCTTTAAAAAATCCACGCCTTGGATAGGCCTTGAAAAAAGTCTTCTTTAAAAAATCCACGCCTTGGATAGGCCTTGAAAAAAGTCTTCTTTAAAAAATCCACGCCTTGGATAGGCCTTGAAAAAAGTCTTCTTTAAAAAATCCACGCCTTGGATAGGCCTTGAAAAAAGTCTTCTTTAAAAAATCCACGCCTTGGATAGGCCTTGAAAAAAGTCTTCTTTAAAAAATCCACGCCTTGGATAGGCCTTGAAAAAAGTCTTCTTTAAAAAATCCACGCCTTGGATAGGCCTTGAAAAAAGTCTTCTTTAAAAAATCCACGCCTTGGATAGACCTTGAAAAAAGTCTTCTTTAAAAAATCCACGCCTTGGATAGGCCTTGAAAAAAGTCTTCTTTAAAAAATCCACGCCTTGGATAGGCCTTGAAAAAAGTCTTCTTGGATAGGCCTTGAAAAATATTTTTAAAAAATCAACATCTCTGATTTCATTTCCACACACAGGTGGTGCTGTTTTGTAATCAATAAAAATTTGTTTCGACATCATTTGACTGAAGATATAGAACAAGTAGTTGCGATTATATGGGAGCTACCTCCTCAGAACTTTTCTTTTGATTTGATTGTATTTTATATGGGAACGGGGGAGGGGGCAATTAATCAAGTATGGACACTTTAAATTGATCCATTATAATCGACGACATTATAAACAAGAAAATATATTAACCTCATTCATTAATGGAAAGTGAACTAAGAATTGGTCACAGTGATTGATGAGCGTGTGCAGAAGTGGCACCATAGAAACACCTAGGGACTGGGGTCAGTAACGTACGTCAGTCAACAGCGCGACAAACCCCATTCAAAATATTTCTGCTATGTCGTCATAGGAGGGTACTTCTTAATCGGCAAATTATCGCTACCTCCACTCACACCGAAGTCATGCAATTCGATTAGATCCCCATCATGTTCGTTTTATTTCGTTAATTTCATTTAATTATCTTTTTCGCTAATAAAAAAATATTGTCATACTAATAGCTTTGATTTTTTATTTCTACTTTCAGATTTAATCCTTAACTCGACGCCATGAAGTTTGCCGAACATTTGACGGCTCACATAACGCCGGAATGGCGTAAACAATATATTAACTATGAGGTATGATCAGCAGACATGATATCTTAATCTGAAATCTTAATCTTAATATATTTATTTATTTGTTTTTGCAGGAAATGAAAGCCATGTTATACATGGCCGTTGAAGAGGCGCCATCCGTCGATAGCGTTGAAGATGAAGTACTTAAACGACACTTTGCCAATTTCGATGAGAATTTCTTCCACTATTGTGATAAAGAGCTAAAGAAAATCAACACTTTCTATTCGGAAAAATTGGCCGAGGCCACACGTAAATTTGCCACACTCAAAGCTGAATTGAAAACCTGTATCGAAGAGTCTGAACGTTCGGCCAAGAAGTCCAAATCATTAAAAAAGACTGCCGGTTTACCGCATCGTAAAGCCCAAGAGCTGAAGCTAGCCTTTAGTGAATATTATTTGAGTTTAATTTTGTTACAAAATTATCAAAATTTAAATCACACCGGGTTTCGTAAAATCCTAAAGAAACATGATAAACTATTGCGTGTGGATAGTGGTGCCAAGTGGCGTCAGGATCATGTTGAAGCATCACATTTCTTTACGAACAAAGATATTGATAATATTATCAATGAAACGGAATCGATGGTTACCAATGAATTGGAGGGTGGTGATCGTCAAAAGGCAATGAAACGTTTACGTGTACCACCACTCGGCGAACAACAGAGTCCATGGACCACGTTTAAAGTGGGTCTGTTTTCGGGTTCGTTTATTGTCTTGGGCATTGTGGTGGTGTTGTCGGGTAAGTTTTACTTTATTTCGCTTTACTTTTTACAAAAACAAAAATGAAATTTGAGCAAAGAAATTTTCAGGAAATTGAAGTCAAATTCCAAAATTCGGCAGTAATTAGACTTACTTTTGTAAAAATTAAGAATACAAATATTTTCACCAAGATTCCAGTGTTTTAGGTTTAGGCTAAAATCTTCCATTAAAAACCGTTTTAGATGGTTGATGTCAATGAAAGATATTTTCTATATTGAATTTTAATATAGGTCACTGAACAATATAAATCGGAATATGTATAAAATAAAAAGTACCGTAATAATTTTGGTAATATGAAATAATGGACAATAATAGTGTTATTTTTAAATTTGAAGCATTTTCAAATTGGCCTCAAATCTCCACCTAAACTTAATTTTTGGTGGTTAATGGTAATGAAAGATGTTTTCTAAATCTAATTTTAATATGGGTCCCTGAACAACGGACATCGGTATATAGTATATATACACCAAAAAATATATATCAATAAATTTGTTTCGATGAAAAAAAGTTATTAAAGTTCTTTTTGAATTTAATGGAACACAATTCTCAAACTAATCTTCATATT